TTTTTTTTTTTTTCTTTTTTGCAGAACCAGGGATTGAACTCAAGATCCTTGCACTTACCAGGGAAGCACTTATTCTACTGAGCCATCTGCCCGGTCCCATTTTCATCTATTTCTAAGTATGATATTAGATAGAAAATAATGACTGGAAGAGAATACATAAACTAAAAAAACTGCAATTAGTTCATTCTTCCTTAACGAAACCATTGATAATTTTCTATTCTTGTTTTGAAATTCTGTACCATTTGTATTGTTCTGTTGCTTTGTTTCTTTGTTTTGTTATTTACTGTTTTTGTTTTTACTCTTTAAAATAAAATAAAAAAGACATAGTATGCATTTGATTTGTTCTTGGAATAAAGAACAGAGACTGAAAAAACATAATGTTCCTTGAGATTTGAATTTGTCAAAAGAATTATAGTTAAAAATTCTGAACTTTCTTTGTATACAACACAGATAGATCAAAACATAAATCTGAACAATAAGTGCTAAATTCCATAATCCCTGAGCCATAAATTGATTTTACTATACTACTGGAAATGTAAAATAACTGTTCACCATTCCACACTGTCGCCAACTCCAATTTTGGAAAACTGCAGTTGACTGATTTCCTTGCCAGCACTTTGCAGAAAGAGGGGCATCTTTCCCAGCCCTGCAAAGTCACCCAGAGGGTGACCCCCAGGAGGCTGAATACCTTGCTCAGTGATTTAGAGCTAAACTGTCCCTAATCTCTTCTTAGGGTTTGAGTATTTCGGTCCCTGCAGTGGAAAAGAATACATTCAGAACTGTGAAAATCTGCCTGAACCTTCTGGACACATTGACATATATAATAAAAAATAAATCACCCTTTTTAAATGAGAAAGTAAGCCAGAAACATGCTAGCAAATGTGTATTTAATTTTAAAAATCCTAAAAATGTGACCTGAGAGATTTTGTTCTAAACATCTTTTTCTAAGAATTTGATCCTGCTTGCAACTAATGTATTAAACAGACAGCTCACCTATTACAAAGAGCATGATTAACTCAGTATTTGTATTTTTAATTGTAGAGTCAGAGCTAGGGTCCTGAATACATAAGATTAAAAACACATGAACTGAAAATATCCATCCTTGGGGAAATTCTATCAAAATCATTCTGAATATCATGTCAGAGAACTTGTCAAGTGCTTGTAACTTTTCTATAAACGTTACAGTGGTCAAGGTTGGAACACGGTCAACTTGATCAAGATACACATAAAACTTTTAGTTCAGTTTCTCAAAATAAAAGCAACAGCTGAAAATGTTCGTGACAATTTTAAACACTTTTCAACTATAGAAATGCCACATGCAATGTACTCACATGGAATTACAGACAACTTATCATGAGCCAAAATACAAATACATACATTTGCACAAACTCTATAAGTAAATATATGATCATAAATTTTATATTTTCAGAATATAAAATATATACAATTATATAAAATTTACTCAACAGTTTCAATTATATATATTTATTTAGAGGGTTTTAAAAATAACCTAATTATTATTTTAAATTAAAATTATTTAAATTTTTAATTCTAAATTTAGAATTAAAAATTTTTTTAAACCACCAAGTAATTTCTGTTGATATTTAAATATCTTCGTGCATTAGAGTTTACTAAAAAAGCCTATTAACATTTTACTATTTAGCTTATGAAACAAAATAATTTTCCACTGAAATATTAAATTATAGGTTCTAGCTAGTGTGTATATATTTTAACAATCAACTAACATTTATAGATTATAGATTACATGACCATTGAAAACATAGCCAGACATTAATCTTTGTTAAATTTTATTACATCATGTAAATTCCTATTTAAAATATTAATTCTTGAGTCAGACCAGTTAGCTCTGAGGAAATAACTTTTTTCTTTAACAATTTAATGATACATTTTAAGTAATTAATTAATGTAATAAAATAGTGACATATAAATCCTAAATGTCCCAGACCAAAAGTAAAATAATTCTTACATAGTTTTTGTGCACTTTCCAGTTCACAGCTACTTTATTTATGGACTTTAACTGGTGACCAAAAAAAAAAAAAAAAAATGGGTCAAAAAAAATATCAGCTCCAAAAACTGACAAATGTGCAGCAAAAGATTATGAAAACATGCAGTGGTTTCATTAAATTAACAACAATAAATAGAAAAATGTAACTAACGTATTACCAGTTTGTGCCATAAATTTAGCAGCATCAGCTTGTTCCTGAGGGACCCTTTTCTCATGGACAGATCGAGGTCGCTGACTTTTAATTGTATGATCTCCCATCATTCCAAATTCTAAAGACAGAATAAAGGTATATGAAAGCTTGTGTGTAGACATTTCTCAAAAATTACATTACTGTCTCATGCAATATGTTCCTATACGTACCTAGAAGTTACTGATTAACTTTACAGTTTTAAATGTTCTAGGCTGGTTTGCCTGGACTATCTCTAACGTCAAGTCAGAAAACCTATAAACATGAACAAGATTTCAAGAAACAGTAACAGTCAAAGGACACATCAGTTTTTAAGTCAACCTGAATACAAAAATACTGCACTCTTCTGATAATGTTCTGCAACAATGCATCAGAAAAAATACAACCACAGTGTTAACTGCTGTTTTTCAGAGAAAATCTGCCTGGTTAGCAGCTGTCTCTTTGCTAAGGGTAATCACCCCCACCAGGTTTTCAGGACTTTTCTGGAGGATTGAGTAATTCTGTACTAACTTTCCTAAGGTAAGCATTCACTTAATGGATTATTTGTCCTCAGACACAAGGCTACCTCTGGTGTTCTCAAGGGAAGATGGTATCCCTGGGAAATCTCTTTCTCCCCTCCTAGGATCAAATAATTTGTCATGCTTTTTCTAGTCACATAGAAAACAATCTTTTCTCTTTTATAGAGCCATTCCAAAAGGAGGATGAGTGTAAACTTCTGTTGTCTAATCTTTTGAAAGTAAAGCTCCCAATAGAGGCAAAAAATCCATACCTAAGTGAGGCAAATGAGGGAGAGAAAAAATAAGTTGAACAGAATACTTTCTACATAATTAATATAGTTTTTAAAATTCAAATGCTTAAAAATTCATATGGTCACAGTTCTGCAAGTGTTTGGCCTCACTCAACTGCTTCAAAAAAGTAATTCTAACGAATCCAAAGCCTAATGTGTGTAGTAGTTTTGGTTCTGCCTCAGCGGAGCACAAGTAGGGAAGAGCGCTCCTAAGGGAAGCTCTGGAATGCCTTCTCTTTCATCACGAGAAAGAGTACTCTTAGGATTGCGTCTTTAACACAAAGACAATTAGACAAAAAGCATTTCTAAGAGAGTGCAGATCGAGTACCAGAACGAATACTGTCAAAATGGGAGAATGAAAAAATTGACCAGGTTACTGTTTAGCTTTTCTCATGAATTTTTAAAAACATATTCTCACACTAAAATATCACAACATACTCTGCAGTATGCTTTGTAAGCAGTAATTCTACCCATCTTTGTAAGAACAAAAGACTAGCATGCTTTTTGTGTCTCTGGTAGATTCTTACATAAATTATAGCACCTGACAGATTGACTTCTCCAAAACATTTTGTAGCTCTCATATGCAACAGTATATCTCTTAATAAATGTGAGATATCTAAATATGTGTTCATTTATGACAAGTCAGATAATATCAAAAGCAGAAAATGGAAACTTGAATAAAATGTCAGTTGGTCCAATCTTATAAAATGCATCACTATTTCCATTACTGCCAACATCATTCCAATTCATTGATGTACACAGCAGATGCTGCCTAAACCATTTTCCATCAGGCTCATAAGTAACATACAATCATGTATCATATCCTGGCTGTTTAGAACACTGTATATAAACTTTCTCACTATCTAAAATTTAAAAGTATTATATGCAATTGAGATGTTTCTGCGTATAAAATGGCAAAAGTGCAGTCATAATTTTATTGTCATGATGCTGTGTTGTCTTTCTCATTGAATTGATCATTTGTGCAGCCCGTGTATGTGAGTCACTTTCTGCATTCCAGTGAGGAGTGTATGTTTCTGTGAACCAGTTGGGAGCTCTCACGCTTACACTAAGGCAGCTTGGGCTCTCATAAGGTTGAGTGTGCTTGCACACTACTCCAAGGTCTACAGCTTCTAAACTATGTAGTAATTTTGCAACCTGTTCTAGTAGAAGGAAATTCTTAAGCTCATGGTAATACCTGAAATGCATCTTTCTCTTAAGGAGAAATGGTCCATTTGTACAGAGTCTGATCTTGAAATTTAGGGGTCTGAGGATTATTACTGGACACTACTGAGGTAACGTTTTTGTTGGTTGTTTGGTTTTTGAGACAGGGTCTTTCTATGTAGTTCAGGCTGACCTTGAACTCACTATGTAGTCCAGGCTGGCCTCAAACTCATAGTGATCACACTGAAATACATTAAAATTTTAATAATTTTTGAAGTAAGACTGTAGGACAAATATTTAATTTTTCAAACAGAATTTAAGTATATTTTTTCATATTATTAGTTAAAATATGACTTATGTATCTCAAAAATATAATACAAAGTAATTTTAATATTCTCAAGTCATTACTTATCAACAGCAATATCTACGATCATCGTGCTGATACTTTATAGTGGATCACAGTATTGAAATTCTTCAACAGTTTATAGACTTGAATATACAGCTCATAAAGAAACAGTAGTTTAACATGAAATTTTTGGTCATTCTCAGTGTAATTTATCTCCAAAATCATGTTTTAAAAATGGTGATTAATAACACAACTGAGTTTCCTATAAGATAATTTAATAATTAATTTTTCTGAGGTGGAAAAACAATACTATAGTGGTATTTTTTTAATATTCTAGATCTACTATTCCAGATCTCAAAATATTCAAATTTGTAATTGAAGTATGCAAAGTGTGAGTTTTTTTGCTAATATTTATATTTCAAGTGTCTTAAAATAAAGTCTATCTTTTTGGTCATAGGGTTATTAACATTACAGTACTATTCACATTGTACACTGGCTTATGTTCAAAATATTTGTTATCTTTCATGATAACACTGTCTTCCTCACTTCTAGGAAAAATAAAGGCCAAATAGATCATAAGAACTTAGAAACAAGACCCACGTTGTCTTTAACTATCATTTTCTTATGTGGTCCAAGTGGTTCATGGTAGAGCCAAGGCATGCTGTGCTTTCTGGATAATTATAAGTTCATCATGACTGTTTGACTGTATTCAAACAATTCTGCACTGGCAAAGATAACATACTACATTAGTTACAAGAGAAAAATAACACAACCAAATAAAAAGATGAGCTGCTTTGGTGAAAGCAATAAAAAGCAACTTATGGAATCAAATGAAATAGGTAGAGCATATAATATTGTGTATGTGCATATGGTGTATGGCCTGTGAAAATAAGTTATTGTATCTGTCTTCATGTTGATGGTGTCAATGAAATGGTAAGTAAATAAATATTCATGTAGAAAATTCAAAAGACGGATGATGACTTCCATGTTTTGGCACAACTTCTCAGATAATCTTTCACTGTGCTTCCTGCTAAACAGCAGTAGTTACTGAAAGTTAGACAAAATCCAAGTTCATGAAAGAGGCGTTTTGAAAATATTTTGCATAAAATGTAGTTATCTGTCTTCTCTTCCCTCGTCTAAGATTATGTAAGTATAACATCATTAAGAAAACCATAGACTTTAAGCTTAATAATGAATTGTCAATTATGAAGGTTCTGTCAGGAAATTGAGTGTTATAATGTGCGGTGGAATTCATCTAGAAGCTAAAACACCCACATGTCCTTGTTATTTTATCATGTGTTTATTTTTAAAGATGTGGATAAGCAGACCATCAAATGACTACAATCTGTCTTACCATGTACCTCCTACTAGCCTGGTGACTTCAGTCAACATTCTTTGAATCTCTACCGAACAGACTGACCTCCGCTATTGTTGCTTCTCAAGAGTTTTCAGATTTATGTCCTGTTTATACAGCGTGGCCGAAGTGCACTCCTGGGAACCCTAAGAATGGTCACACTGCTGCACTCTGGCTGGCATTTTTATCCACTAGAAAGACCTTTCTTCCAACCATGCCTGCAATAAAGCCCCCTCTGGTTCTGACTCCAAAGACTGCCACTTCATCAGGGAGTACTTTTTCATCAGCCAAGAGTGAGTGGCTTCTGCCTTGCTAAGCTTCTGTTTTGCTATAAATCAATTACAGACTTCCATTTTAACTATCACCTTAACTGTCTTATTCCTCTTCCTCAACAATAAACTTCTAAGAGATAGAAAGCATTGCTTATGAATTTTAAAATCATGTCTCGCTTCATGCATAAGCATGATTCAATATTTACTTAAATAAATAAATTTTATGTTAAGAATTGTTTTTCCGAAATCTGTATTTCTATACATCTACAGACCCTTCCTGAATTTGCTTGGCAAACAGGTTAGAGACAAAAATTAAAATCCTCATATATATTAGCTACATGTGGTTATGACAGTTCAAAAGTCCTGTTGTCCAGAAATTTCATCATCTATAAACATACACAGGTAATTATTAGATATTGCCTTATTTAGAAATTAAATCTCACTTTAACTCAGAACTTTTACACAGACCTATTATTTAACATGTGTGAGGTATTAAAGCTACAAAGAAAATAAGAAATGGTTTCTGGTATGTTGAAGCTTGACCTCCAAGAAATTCACTAAAGGTAGCCTAATCTTTTGAAATTATTTGTCATTATTAACATATTAACCTACCTGTGAGATATTTATATCAATTTACTACATTTTAGAATATTAATTACAATGACTTGCTATATTTCAAAAAATACAACTTTTGACTCATGCAACTGCATGACTGAAATGTGATTTCATTGCATGAAAACTCACAGGAGACACTATAAAATACGTGACTTTTTGGCAGAAGAAACACTCCATCATCTGGCTGGCTTACAGTAGCATAGGCTACTAAATTCTATTGTCTTCAGAATAAGACAATTAATGCCTCTAGGTTCACCTTTGGGCAAGTGGATGAGTTACTGAATTTGTTCATTTATTTTTACACATACAGAATTGGCACAGGGATTGTGCATACAATATTTATTCTGAATAATGTAGCTGGACCATTACAGATAGTAAACTGGATCATCAGCATTTTGCTACTTTGTTTCAGCATTTACTCTGATCTTTTATATTTTTTAAAAAGTAAACTGACGTGACAATTGGATTTTCTTAGTAAGCATTTGTTGAGTGTCTACATAGGCAGATGCTGGTTGCAAAGTCAGAGATGAGAGCACAATGATTGGCGTCTCCACAAAGATATTTCAGACACTAGCAGGGGTCATTCAAAACTGGAATTTTATAATTAAACATCATTTGTTGAAATTACGAAAAATGGGGCCGGTGAGATAGCTGAGAGGACTAAGTGCCTGTTTAGGCAAGTGCAGGGACTGGGGTTTGATCCCCGGCACCACATGCCATGCTGGCCCCGCCCCTGGCAGGCTGAGCTGGCCTCCAAGACTGAGTGTGGTTAGGCACGCGTGTAATCCCAGCACTGGGGAGGCTAAGACAGAGGATCCCAACCAATCAACGCTGCACAGCAAGACCCTGTACCAAATACACTAAAAAAAAAAAAAAAAAAAAAAAGAAAAGAAATAATGAAAAAGATGTGAAGGAATAGCTCTACTACAGCTGATAAATGTGCAAATTTAATTTTTCCAAGTAACAAGAAGAAATAGAAGAAAAGTCAATATTCAAAAAGTGAAGAAAGTTATACATCAATATTCACACTATCAAATTTAAGAAATATGAAAATAAAAATCAGTAAATACCTATTAAGAAATACTAAGACTGAAATTTCACCATTAAAATTTAGCAGATTAACAACTATTCACTTCTACATAGTACTTCTTGGTTCCAGTGCCAGAATGCTATATCTGAGAAAAAAGGATGCTATATCTTCCTGAAGCATCTTGTTTTACAGTCTCGCAGAAATGAATGTATTAGTGAGCTCACTATTACTGGTAAGTATAAGATTAATTTTACAGAGCCTCTAAAAGTGATTAAGCATGAAGCAGTCAAGGGATGCACTGCCAGCATGTTCACTGGAAAGTTCAAAATATCAGAAGTTTCCATGAAGTTACTGAATTATACAACTTGCATAATATTTTCAAGGGATTACCAAATATATTTAGTATATATGTTTTTAGATAAGGGTGCTAGGATTTAATTTATCTTTGAGTAGGAAGATCGAAATAGATGTAATCATGGATTTTTTTAATGTAGTCATAAGTTTTTTATAGAATTCTTTGAACACATATACTTGAAAATTACATGATGAAATGTTCCAAGAAATTTGAGGTATAAAAGATTACCTCATCTTTCACACTTATTCTATTTGCCTTCGGGGAAATGTTACCACGTTGGACATATTCTTCCAGGGAAGCAATCATAAAGTTCAGAATCATGCACAACTTATATTTAAACATTATTTACACCTCCTCAGATTATATTTTATTACTTCACTTTTTGTGAGAGAATTACTGGATTGTTCTAAATTAGTAGTAATTAGTTGCTTGAAACATATTCGCATTTATTAGGAAGGCGCAAAATAGATGGAGAAGCACAGAAACGAGAAAGACAACTTCAGCAGTCAACTCATCCCAGGACAGCTTTTCCTGGCTTCCCTGTGTGGTGGGCACACAGTAACATAACCAGATGTTTTCCTGTCCACACCCGTACATTTTGCAGCAAACGCCAACCTGTGCATGCTAAGATTTTAGTAAATTATTGTTAAAGTGGTCAGACAAGATTGCAAACACTTGGAAGTAGAAGAAAATAAACTGAACTGTTTCTAGATAAAATTACAGCGATGCCTCAGTTCATGAACACCTCTGTTTGGAAACAATTTGGTTCACAAACAGAAGTGTCTGGAAAATTTTTATTTTTTTCAAGAACCCTGCATGAAGCCTTGAACCTGATCAGCATAGTCTTCCCCACCAAACACAACTGTGCTTATCCCTTCCAGAATCCTGGAATGAATTGAGTTTGTGAACTGAGCTACTACTGTATACTCTATTTTCTACTAGAACAGCTACTGGTTTCCTTCCTGCCAATCTCCCTAAAATGAGGCGACATTCTGCGTACAGAGCCATCTTCATAGGGGCCTCCTAATGACATGTTCTGGGTGAAAGCAGAGAAGCCTCTCAGTTAGGCTGCCCTGCATGCGAAAGAGAACAAAACCCGCGTGATGATGCGCAAACTCAGTCATGGGAGGCCAAGTTTTTGAAACGGAAAATGACTGGTTTCAATGATGAGAAAGCAAGATCATGTACAGGACACACAGACTTGAAGCAGCACAATGTTCAGAACTAGGTGAACCACAAGTTGGAAATGAGCCTTTAAATACAAAGTGTGTAAAGAGATGCACGAATGTAAGATGTAAGCTAAGCAGTACTGGAGAATTGATAGGAGTAGACAGGAGAGAAAAGGCTGGAGGTACCACAAGTTGCTAAGAGGCCTCCAGAGTTGCCCATCTATACCTCACTGGATGACAGCTAGTGTGATGGACAATTCACCGGCAGGTCATAGGTCTGGAGAAGCAGGTAC